TCAGATTCACGGAGATTGAGGTGAGTGAAAATCAAGTTGTGAAAGATATATGTGAAATGCCCGAGGTTTTAAACAAATATTACGTTGACAGTATCAAAGAAATAGTCAACAATATAGATTATATTGGTCCTGATTTTCCTATTGTAAATAGAACTAACAATATCTACTTAAAAAGTTTTAAATTAATTAACAGAGATACTTTAAAGGAAATTATTTTTGAAATGGCAAATAAAGGAAGTCCTGATGATATAAATGCAGAATTTTTAAAAAATTGTTTTGATAATGTTGCAATGCCCTTAATTAATGTCATAAATACTTCTATAGAAACCAGTACCATTCCATCAATCTTAAAAATTTCAACTATAACACCAATTGCTAAAGTTGCTAATTCGAATAAGGCATCTGATCTTAGACCAATCAATATGCTCTGTACTATTGAGAAAGTATTGGAAAAAGTAGTCTATAGGCAACTTGTTGAATATTTAGAAGAAAATAGTTTGTTAAATAGTGTACAGTCAGGATTTAGGGGCAAACACAGTTGCGAAACAGCACTGCAGTATGTTTTAGATGAGTGGAAACTAAACCAAAATAATAAATTAATCACAGGTGCTGTTTTTTTAGATCTTCAGAGGGCATTTGAAACTGTTAACCGCTCTTTACTTATTAGAAAACTAGAAAGCTTTGGTATTATTGATGATGCTTTAAAATGGATGATGGAATATTTAGATAATAGAAAACAGAAATTAAAATTAAATAACATTTTATCTTCAGAAATTANTAAGTTTATTTTTGGTATTTTAAAGTAATGCGTCCGGACCATTTTGCTTGATTTAGTTACTTTTAACTCCTAAAAATATAACCCTTTCAATTTACTTTTCATGTTTTCCAAAAGTGGGCATATTTAGTTTCACAAAAAAGTACATTTATTAATCAATTTTTCGTACAACATTCTACACATCGACGCCATCAGATGTCATTTAAAAAATATAGATAGTTTACATAAATATGGCCAACACTTTTTAGCCAGTCTGTAACATATCCTTACTAAGAGACGATATTAAATTGTAAAATTTTTATCTCAGAAATATTCAATAATGACAGTTAATTTCTCAATATCTCATTATTTCTTTGTCCTGAATCTTCGTCTAATACTACCTATATATCTTATACTAGATTTAGGTAGGTTAGGTCCAAAATGAGTGGGTCTATTTGACCCTCCACCGCAACCCGCAAGGGTTTATTGTGGCTCATACCTATTCACACTCGAACAAATAAATCCAGCTGCTGACCGAATCCGATTAGTTTATATGGTGAATGGTCTTTCAGGCTAGATGGTAAGAGTACGGCTCTGCCGAACTCTTAACACCTAATTCGGTCCCCAGCGGGACCGGCAAAGTATGTGCTCTGCAGTTTCATCATTTTCCAAACGGAGGCGACACACACTGTCTTCCGACAGTCCGAGTCTCTGCATATGATGATTCAAATGACACTGACCTGTGAGAAGGCCTGTTAGATATCGCAGTTCATCCGTACTGTAGTCCAACAACTGTTTCAAAACCTTAATTAATTCCATGGAATTTCTAGTCCTCATTCAATTCAAATATGAAAAATTGACCTTCATGGTGACTTGAATTAATGTATGTGTAAGGAATAAACTCCACATCGATATATTTCGAAGAAATAAATAAGTAGGTATTGTTATAGGTATCATTTGAGAAATTGTGAGGTTGTCCAACGAGATAATACGAAAATCACTAAAAAAAAGCATCTTCGAATAGCAACAATTCTTGTTTCTATTCCAGATACACAATATAGAAGAGAATATTATTGAAGTTTTATACCAACACCAAACCGTTATTTTTAATAACTCGACACGTATTTCGATCATCAAGTGATCATCTTCCAGAGGAAGATTAAACAGTTTAATCTCCCTCTTGAAGATGATCACTTTTTCAAAAGGAAGATTGAACAGTTTAATCTCCCTCTTGAAGATGGTCAGTTGGTGATCGAAACGCGTGTCGAATTGTTGAAAATAATAGTTTGGTGTTGGGATAAAACTCCGGTAATATTCATTACTACACCAAAGGTTACAAACAGTACATCACGAATATGGAAGAAAGTAAAGGATATATAAAATTAGTTGTTCAGTTGGTGATTAGTTCAAGGATATGAATTCATTGAATTATTCGATGAAATTTTATATTTATGAATATATTTGTACGGCAAATGTTTAGTAATCCTAATATAAGTACTACTAGCTTCTGAAAATTGTTCACTTTCGAAAATAGCTCTATTAGTCGCATCAAGGAATGCGAGCAATTTCCATTTTGATGATTTTTTTCTATTTTTCTATTTCTCCATCATCAAACAAAAAATATGGAAAACTTCCAAGGTGCACCATATTCACACG